TAAAATGTTCTAATTACATTGGGTGATAGATAGAATTATAGCTATTGGACAAATATATAAGTTTATGCGCAATCCTACACCCATGATAGAGCTCAAACTTCTTATCATTCAGTCAAAATTTCAATCATAACAAAAATTTATTTTATAGATCTATATCATATTTGAATAAAATATGTCAAAACCTTAGCAGGGTTTTGAGCAATACATGTTAATGTCTGGATTTGACACTTCAAATTAGATTAATCCATTCAATTAAAGCTCAAAGCTTTCCTTGTTTTTTCTTTTCAATCCTCTTTAATGAATCCAGTAGAATACTGAAAATTCATGAATGTAATCTAATCAAAACTTCCCAAACCCTGTAACATTTGATCAGATGATTTTTTTTTGCTGAAAATTTAATTACAAATAAACAGAAAGTGTTTTTTCTTGTGTTACCAAATTAATGCATATAAAATTAGAGCTTTACAACTAGTCTAAAAAAATTATCAATCGTAAAGACAATATGAGCTATATTTGAGAAAAATAAAATTTTATGTAAAAGTGACTAGAAATGACAGGCTACAGCTGAAAAGTGAGAAGTTTTTTACTAGACTATACTAGACATTTCAAATGATAAGTGCGCTTCAAATTTCTCAGTCATGTTTCGTGCTTTATTTGAATAAATACCATAATGATGGGATTGAAAGCTATGTGTTGATCGGCATAACAGTTATCATGTTTGCTTGATATCAAATCAAATCAATCAACCACAACAAAACGCACATCTTTAACCGTAAAAAACCGGAAAGAGTAATCTGGTTCAAAAAGAAACTTATCAGTTACTTGCATTCAGTTCGCTCCCATTCATGTACTATCTCTACACAAATTTTTTTCAATGTATACCCAGATATTGGAAAAAATTTGGATCTAGCACGGATGTATGTAAAATATTGTAGTATGATCGATTAATATAACATGTCGCTTACAATTCTATGATATATAATTTTCAAATCATAAAAGCGATATTTTTAGATTATTCTCACTTTGTTTGCATCATAATCATGAGTTACGTATGATAAGGATCAAAGTAGGGTATATATTTTACCAACACCAAGTTCATCAAATCACAAGCTCAAAGTTTGTGTACATTAAACTTTCAGTCATTTAAAAATTATACATATTTGTAATATCATCATGTGTGAGCTCATGTAATCACTTTTTCATAAGATTTCAGCCATGGCTCAAGAACCTTTCTCAAACAGGGTCAACAACAAACTTAAGAAATCGATACACCATGCCACCTGGCGTGAGAGTCTTACAAACAACAAACATGCGGCATAGGAATACATAAAAAAGCTTTCCACCACCAAACTCCAAGTAGTAGACGGGATCTCGATAGTACTATGGATGGTCAATGCAAGGGATCATATAAGCCAGACATGCACGTTGTCTCCTAAGACTCCTGCATGTATTTTTTACTCTTATTTTTTAATGGAAACCGGATAGGGCGAGCAGCAATAATCAGGAACGCATGAGGATTTCACCTAATGAAACGAACAATTTTGTTCAGAAAGATTTCCATTTTGTTTGAAGTGAAGTGGCTATCTTGAGAGTTTTGGAGTCGTAAAAAGTATAACCGCGGTTTGAGCATGTGATTTAAAACTGTCTTGCATATGTTGCGGGGTTTTGTTCATTGCTTCGGAACTCGAGCTGGATCCGTTCTAGGTTTCATCAGCTTGCAGTTTCGTACAACAAGCCAGTAGCAACATCTAAGGCCCATGAGCACAAGCGTTAGTAACGGGGGTAATTTGTGAAAATCTAAACATGGTCAGTCGAGGCATTTTTCGTGATTTTGACATAGCACACCTTCAAATATACCACTTCTACGTTGAGCAATAAAAGTCCAAGAGTCACGAGGGTAAAGATTAGGCAAATCAGTATCAGTGGACATTCGAAGGCCTCTTGTCCGCGCAAGAAGCATCACGCCTTTGAAAGAGCTAATTTTCTATAACCATGGTCTCATGGATGAAAATGACAAGATGGTATTTGGCATCGCCCATGAACCGAGCTCTGATTCAGAGCTTGTCTAGCACCAGATCTAATGACCTATGAAAAAGCACACATAGAACAGAAGAAACATGTGTTCGTGTAGTGGCGCTGAATCCGGGCAACGCAAGGAAAGGAAAGGAAAGACCGGATGCGAACTGCACATGAATCAATCACGTACTGATCCCAGGTTTCTGCTTAAGTCAGTGTCTTACGCTGGCGTGACTAGCATCAAGGTGGACGGGAATCTAGCTCTGATGTGTGATGTAGGTGCCAACCAACAATAATGCAAGAATTCCATCTTGTGTGCACACTGAGGTCAAACTCACCAAGTATAGAAGGGTAGAAGAACGACCGGACGAGGTGTTCAAAGCACTCACAGTTCACTGACTTTCGATGGGTGCACTAATTTAGAAGCGAGGTGTGCACTTTTTAAACGAATCCTCGGGGTGAACGCGATCCTGAGCCTGAGCTGCAGGCAGAGGCAGAGGCAGAGGCGGCATCAGATTTGGAGCAGTCTGAATGACTGACTCTCCCGGTTCGAGTTGCAGGTGAAGGATTGGGAGATCGAGAGCCGAACGAGTGCCAGAAGGGGCCGGTAGCCGGCGGCCATGGATCCAGCGAGTTGCCGGTCAGCAGACCTGGAGGCCTGGAGGCGCGAAAGCCGAAACGAACGAAGTTAGGTTCACGCGAAATGCACAGTCACGGGAGGAATGTAAACGGGCTGCAGCGTAGTGGCTACGAGACTGTCTGACAACTGTGGCGGAACGACGGCCAGTGGGGGCTTCTTCGTTTCTTTCGTGCATGGGTTGGGTTGCAAGGCCGCGAGAGGGAGCATAGATTTTAGATTTAAGATTTTAGGCCACCGTGCGACATTACATTTGGCTCACTTCCTCGTTTCGTTCGTTGCATGCGCAGATTCGTTTTGGTAGCAAAAGCAGAGACACCGTGTAGTCCACGCCAATCGACGTTGTCTGTAAACCTTTGCCAGATTCCGCGGAAAGAAAACAGATATTGTACCTACACGAGCAGCAGTGTCAGAACATTACGCGTTCGCATTTTGTACTGTAGTTGCACGGCAAGTCACCATTCGTATTCTTCGATTGCAGAGGAACTTTCCGCAGCCTCCACTTCTCTCCGCCAATCCGTCACTGGACCGCTAATTTGCTAGCTCCTGACTGTGGCAGACCGACTCGATGACTTTGCTGTGTCAGTCAGACTCAGAGTGGCAGTTCCATTATCTGATCACATTTCATTCCCAAAATTCTGGGATTCTGCCGATGTATTGGTTCAGAGTATTCGTAAAGATTTACCATCATCATTCTCTCCTCGTCACCCTCCAAGATATTTACTTCTGTCGTCTCCTCCTTCAAGTTCGTTGGAGTAAATTCCGGTTCTCCGACTAGACTTGTGCATGGCTCTCTCTTCCGATTTACCAAGTTGGCGGATTTCGAGCACCGTACGCCTTCGCAGGCACTGGCGCAGTACACCAGGTCGTTTTCTTGGAATGTGAAAAAGTGGAACAGAGTATACAGATGGTGGTTATTTCATAGCACACTTCCATCCAACTCGCAAATCATTCCTTTTTTATCCGAGTACCGATTTTATTTCGACTGCGAAACTCGAGAAATTCGAAATTCAGTTACAATTATTTTCTCTCAGAGTCATGATTGAACCCATTTAGAAGTAGCGCCATTCTAATCTCCCCTCTCCAAGGGGGCATTCCCCTCACTGCGTTAAGTTGGCCTGCCAGCTTCAGCTCTGGCTAAAGGTCCTTAGCCCAGACCTCATTAAAAGTGGCATTTGCCACTTTTTCGTTAAATGTGGCACCCAAAATTTTTGAAAAGTGTCATTTGTATTGATTTTCTTTTTTGACAGTCTTGAAACCATAATAGATTGAGAGTATTTCAGGAGAACGTCATGCAGGTTCCGTCCTTCCACCTAAAGCCATCGATATCTAACAAGAATTTAGAAGAGTCCATGATTATTCACTGTGAAGATACTCAAAGCATAGAGCGTTAGTCCTTTGAGAATAAATGAGTTTGAGTCTCCTGATTCTAACGATGAGGATATTAGACTTTAACTGAATAGTAATAATAGACTTTAACTTCCAAAATTCACGAGACTTGAACTGTATTACTCCTCAAAACCTCAGCCAAAGATGAGTGACATCACCTGCCATCAAACCCCGGACCGGAAAGAAATTAAGTTTCATAACCAGAATATTCTATCATCAGAGACTTAGAAAAATTTCGCGATATATGTAACACTCTTTTCTTCTGAAAATTACGTCGATCAATAGATCTTGCGCTACTTCAATTTCTGTCCACAATATCTCAAAAACAATTATCCAGGGATTCTCTTTCCAGTCACTTTCAGCATACTGACGGCCATGCGATCTAATGCTTGCTTGGTTGGGATAATTACATTGTCCGTCGCCCACTTTATACACTTTACGCAGTGCTTACGAACTTTTACGAATTTACAACGTACAGCCAAAGAGTCACTAGAGGAGAAGGGTTAATAGTGGCAAACGTGGCATTTTTAAATAAATTGCCACTTTTCATGAGGTCTGCCTTAACCCGAGACTCTCGCCATGGCCCCTTCCTTCGCCTGTGCCCGGAGCCAGGTTCCTTTGCCTGCTCATGAACCTGGTCTCGTCAGTCTCAGGACTGACATTCGAGGAAGAAGGACGGCGAAGGTGGAATTTTTAGAGCAGAAGCAAGTGTGCCGTCGGAACCAGAGTAACTTTCTTCAAAGGCATTACAATAATTCACAAGATCATATTCGAAGATGGAAAAAGCACCGCCTGAAAGCGACACACACACATTCTCTCTCCACTTGGCTGCCACGTGGAAATGGTGACGGCCAAGTTGGGTGCCTGATCAGGTTCGATGTCTTCCATTTCACAGTCGATTAGGCTTTGACTTTCCTCGACGTGTTTGTTGGTCTTTTGGATCTAATATCGAACAGTCGGCCACTCATCTCTAGCATCGGAAAAATGCGGCTGTACTCGAGACCTAAAAAATGTGTCGATTGCAAAAGCTTCAGGATATGGAATTGGCGTTCGAATGGGCCACAGAGGGAAATGGTTAGCTTTCGAATGCACAACATCCATCTCCATTTGACCTCGGAGAAAAATCCCTGGTAGACCTTAACTGCAATAGAGTACAAGTCACCGTGGTTTCCACCGTGCACCAGGATGCCACTGCAGGCAAGGCAGAGAGAGACGCACCGAACTGGCTGAGGATTTGAGTGCCCAGAGGACGGCAGTTTGCTCCTGTTTCTTTCATTTGGCATCTTTGACAGTACTACAGCTAAAAACGCCGTCACCTCTATCGATGATCCGCGGTATATAGATGGGATGTTCAAAGTGTAAAGCGTCTGTCAATGTCTAGCAATGGTCGAGGACAAAGCCACAACTGTGGAGTAGTTCCCGCAATATTTTAGTGCTCAAGTCAACTCGGGCAGCAGGGCATTTTTCACGTGGTTTTGCATAGATGATAACGTTGACAGATTCACAATTCTTCCGTTCGGGTTTGCCGGCACACTTGGGAAAAAAATCAGGACCAGGTCTTGGAGGCGGCCGAACCACTCACTGGACGGGAGAGGGACCAGCTCAAGCCTCAAATCGTTGCTCGGGGCAGAAGGATGACCCTCTGAAAGGGTTGCAATCGCTGCAGAACTTGGCTATGATGGAAGAAGAGTACTGCGCAGCGAGTTGGTTGTTTGCTCACTCCTGCCTGCCGTGGTCTATGGATGCAGTGCGTTGGTGTCTAGACAGGAGAGCGGTCTGCACCGAGGGGTCCATGTGAGGGATCTGACACGTGCTGCTCTGGCCCCAGGATTGCCCAGACGATTGTCAAAGATGCGCTCGAAGAAGCAATCTTCCATCACTGTTCACGACCACACCTTATCGCCATCTGTGTAATCATGGGATGGTACGATCGAAACAGGCGTCAAGGACTGATGAGATCACCAATCGGAGCGAGCCCTGGGCAGAATCTACCATCACCCCTGTAACTTACTTTCTGGCTCGCTCGTCCCCGCCCTCGCCCTCGCCCTCCCCTCCCCTCCCCTCAGCCCCCACCCCCCACCTCGCCCGGAGTCCGATGATTAGTTTCCCAAGCCACTGGCCTCGCGTAAAGATTGTCAATAGAGTGACGCGGCCTCGCATTGCAATTGGACGACCATTACGTGCCGTAGTTACTGGTGATGGATGGTCTTCGCTGTGCACCGATCGCAGTGATTCGGTGACTCCTCCTCCTCTCGGGTTCAGATATTTTTACGCATCCACAGATCCCTTCGGCTTTCTGGTGCGTGACCATTTAAAGTGGCTACAGTGGTGCCGAATGTAACGAGACATTGGGCAGAAACTGGCTTCTTGACTGCCTCTATAGCGTCGAGAGACCGAGATGGAACAACATCAGCTTCTTACGATAGCTTTGAGGCGTCACTGCCAAAGCTCGTGAAGAGGAACGTCGATGCCTGACGTTGGAGACCTGAGCCCACCTCTAGCCAAAGATCTCCTGATGACTGTGACCTCGACACCTCTGGATGCGTTCTCACTCGATATTCGAGCATTGTAGCCTTCATAGTGCGACTGGCTGTACGTGCGCAAGTCGAGACCAGTTCTATGCCTCAGCCGCTTCCATGTTTTATGACCGCTGGATAGGTGCGTGCATGCGTTTGCCCCATCCGGAAAGTTCGTGATGCTTGGCGAGAAAAGTGCCTATTTGTTATGCTAGATGACATCCACAGCGAGGTAAAGGTGTGGTGAGTCTTATGCCATGACTTAGTCCACACGAACGAACAAACATGAGACAAACAGGATTTTCGATGACAGAACATGTTGAACACTGCCCTTATCTGGAGACTGCGGAGTTATCGTGTCAATACTTCGGTAATTCGGTAATTCGGTCCTGTCATTGGATGCAGTTTCAGACCAGAGCTCAATTCCAACGGGATCTACATCCATTCACTCCGCCTATTGGAAATGCGATACATATCGCAGAGCCTTTCTTCGTCCAAATTTAGTTCAAATCTTTATGTTTTCTGGGAAAGCCGGAAGTTGTCAAAGCTTTCAACCATTTGCCCATTTGACAGAATGTCGGGCAAATTTCAAGACCTACAAGTTGCTATAAAGCTCCCCCCATTCCGACTACAAGAAATGTTTGACAAAGCCTATACGTCAGAAAGAGAGGAAAGAAATGGGTGACAGGTGGCGATTAAAACATTATAGAGAGAAAGTCCCCCGACACTGAAGTTTGAGCTCCGAGCTCCCATAATTTGTGTGACTTGTACGACACGTATGTACTGGCAAATCGAAATAATTCAGGTTTGCTAGGTCAGCGTGTGATGAACATATATCTTCAAGCGGCCTGTGATGAAGAATTTTAGTCCTGAGTTCAATCATGGTTTCATCTTTACATTATTCACTTCCCTATGATGCAGAACGAATCGTTGTTGATTAACTCCTGAATTTAATCACGTTTTCTTCTTTGCATTATTCACTTCGACCAATTCGATAGTCAAATCAGTGAAAGTGAAATCATGCCTACAACGAAGAGGCTTCTATGGTTCGACCCTACGAGACAAATTCTTGAGAGATCCAATGCGTACTCCAAATAACGATACGGTCATAGTGAGTCGAATGGCAACAAGGGTTGAAAGTTATTCAGTAGAAAGAGGTAAAACTAAACCAGGCGTGTGCTCCTGACCGACGTAGTTTCCATTTTTCTCCTGTGAGAACTTGCTGAGCAAAAGATTGGAACAAAACTCCTCTTGGCATCCTCAGGCATATACGGAAAAAGGTTGTTGCTGATTCAAGCTGAGACAAGTATGTCATCGGCTCAAGGACAGGGTGCAAGTTGCCCGTAAAGCAAACATTTTCTACTACGAGCACAATCGTCGGCGAGATTGCTCTCACGACATCTGGGTCCAGTGACTCAAGTCGTCTGGCACCGACGCACTCACGATCATAACGTTGCGTTTGCGCTCTTTAAGATGTAAGGGCAGAGCAAACGATAAGGAGCTATGATAGAGCAGGCACGACCCATACTACAGTTGCAGGGGCAGGGGAGAGGGAAGCACTTCGTGTCAGGCATCCGGGGCCAGTTCAGCTTAGCGACTAAAGCGAGTCGTTCCGTTCGGGACTCTTCCTTTCACAAAGATCTTAACAGATTCGCGTCGTTTGCTTAGAAGGGGAACAAGATTTGAGGAATCTACTTCATGAACTTTAATGCGTGCTCGAGTCAGTGTCTAATGCGTGCTCAAGTCAGTGTCTACTATAGATTTGTCGCAGACGTGGATGCGAATCATGGGATCTAGCTGATGATAGAATCATGCCTAGATAGATACAGAGAAGAAACTCGAAAGAAGTGAAGTCCCTCGCATTGTGCTTTACAAGCAGTCAGACTCTGCCCCCGCCCTGGTTCGTCGTCATCCACCACCACCTGCCGGAGCCCTATCTCGCCATGCCCCCGGGAACGGCCTGCTCGTTCCCTGGAAACCTGCCACTTCCGCCCTGCTGCTGCTCCAACTCACCGGTCCCTTCTTCCCTCCCCTCTCTTCATGCTTATCATCATCATTATTGCAACGACTTACGTCTTCTCCTCCTGAGGCAGTGTCTCCTGCTCCTGCTCCGACGTGTTAGCAAGCTCAGCTCAGCTCAGCTGATCTACTGTACTGTGACGGATGCGGTGCATTCGATTAGTGAGTATGATGAGAGGGATGCAATGTTCAATGCGCTGTGCTGTGATGCTAGTGGAGTGTGGCCCTGGTGGGGTCTGTCCGGGGTAGTAGACCATTTCACAAGACAACATAGATCTTTGCTAGCTCCTGCGATTGCGACTGCTAGCACGTCTTGGGATTCCATTCCCTCGAAGATAATGAAGGGATTTGCATCAGGTCTGCTGACGATGTCCGAGCCTCAGGTGGGCCTCACCACGAAGACTTCACTCCCCAAGGAACGAACGAAGGCAGCCAGCGAGAGACAGAGCAAGAGAGTTCTGCACGGGTCCCTCGCTTCGCGATGTACGTGGTCGGTCTTCGGAGTCATGGTCCGCTCTCACCTTCCCTCCAGTGGTACTGCGTAGCGAGCCAGCCCTGCCGGGTCCTGAACCCATCGTTTGGCGCGCGAGAGTTTGTCGTATTATCAGCGGTATTTCAACGACACCGCTAAAGCGGCTATGGGGTCGGCCTCCGTCAGCCGCGCATCGCTTTATTGTCTGTTCTCCTTTCTATTCGAGGGAAAAGGGCATCGAGCAAATATTTATCGAGCCGCGGTCGGATCCGTTGGCCCATCAGAACTACAGTGAGCTACGACACATCCTCCGGGTCCCCCATTCTCTCTCCAACAATTAATTGACCTTCGCCATCAAGAGTACTGTACTCTATACATTTCCAATATTTTCTTCTTATTCTCTTGACTAGTTCTAGCAAATGGTAAATAGTCTTATTCTACAGATTGGGGTGGGGTGTCTGTAGTTCTATGTGCGTGAAGGGTGAATGAGTAAAATTTATAATTCTAAAAAATGAACTGCCAGCCGGGTTGCGACCGGCAAATGTTAACGGAAAAGAAAACTTTAAATAGTGACCTCTGAAGAGCAAAGCATGAGACTATTTTGTGAGCGGTGTGGCCACGGCTCCCTGGCCTGATTTGTAGTGAAAGCGTAAAAATTTCTTTCTTTGAATATGCAGATTCTTCGGTATTTGAGAGCATATTTATTTGGTGTGAGATTTTCAGTTTTTTAATTTTTGTATTCTGATAGTTGGGGATGGACACAATGTATACATTATGTGATATTAATGAAAAATATTACATTTTCAACAGTATCATGCAATCTTATTTAGAGTTGAAGTTAATTCTTAGAATATTACCTATTTTCAAGTTATCACTACAGCGTTTTGGATAATTTATTTTTAATTGAGTTCAAAATGTAAATGAGTCATACTGGCTGTGAACAAACGGTTTTTTTACAGAATACTGGGCTGAATGATTGATCGATCCACAATAATTTTTCCAAGAATAAAAAATACCAATAAAACTTAATGACACGATTATTGCGGATAATTTCATTAAAAATGATAACTTGAATATTTCATAAAATGTACACTCACTCACTCCTGACGTGGATGAACCAAAGTATTTTCATGTTTGGTCTATGAAATACGAAATTCGTGTTGTTTAGGGCATACATGTATTTCTCACATGTAAATCTAACTTACTGTTATCCTTGCAATGAGTCTCCATCTCCGTATATTACAGTTTGATGACATATACTTATAGATATGACTTGAGTACATAGCTATTTCTTCAATGACGATGATTACATGTACTAAGACTTCCGACTGGAGCTGAAATTGTTAATTAAAGTTCCAGTGTAGAAAAGTCAGTTAGAGAGGGTCTTGGTGTGATGTTTGTTTACGATTGATTATACATAGCGTTCAAGAAAACGACTTTGGAGATTTTGAGAACGTTCCAAGGTTTTTGTTTGACCCATTTTGACCAAAAAACAGCTCACAATATATGTTCTGTATTGAACTCATATTTCGAATCAACTGGATTATATTTGAAAAAGATTTTGATGTTCCAATAGGACCTTGAATTTGGATACAAAGACTAGGAATAATAGTGATTCAGACATTTTATCCATTTCACTTCACCTTGAACGCGAGAACTTTTTAACCTTTGTTACATTTGGGCCACTCGTTGCCGATTTGCATATGCAATACCCAATCCCTTGCATTGAGCTCTTTTAGTATCGAATTTCTTGCAACGAAGTATACGGTGATCATACGGTGCTACTTTGAAATACTGTTGGTGTGCCGGACAAATATTATAAGAAAGAAAGCTTAGAGTACAATTTCTATTGTAGGTAATACTTGTATTATTAACTGTGTGGAGATCTATAGCATGAAAGTATTCAAATGGAATGCGAGTAGGACAAAGAATTATGTCCTTCACAGGTCAAATCTGTTCTGATCTTTTATTAGAAAGTTATACTTGAAGTTGAAAACTCGTCACGTGTGAGAATTGTAATAATTATTCATGGTTTTTCTCACAGATGCACAATGAGAATGAAAGCTTGATCAAGATAATATTCTTCAATCGAAAGGTTCCAAGGCCTTCCGATTCCTTCACATTTCTCTCTGGAAAATTATTACGTGGAAGGATGGAAGACGGTGTCATGAATTGTATCCAAAAAGGGGCTCGACCCTATGATAGCTGAGGTCTTGGCCCTCGGGATACATACATACTTGTAAAGAATCAACAGAAATGCGAACATCTCGCTTCCCTTTTGTTCTTCATACAAGCCTTCCATTTGATCTTAAAGAAGAGTACCCTTTGTCTGGCCTGCTATCCAATTCGAAGGCTTCAAGAGATGATATTTTCTGGTCCGATAAGTAGTTAGAATGTCACAAAGCTACATCGGTTGAAATGTGAATTAATAGATGAACGATTAGCTTTGTCGCGAAGGATCAAGCAATGGGCGGAAAATGAAACCCATGAAGTGCTTCTTCAGATTCGTGACGATGATAGCGAGGCAAGGCCACCATCTTCGGGGAAGTTGGGAGAAAGCAGATGTGTGCACGTTGCAGCAGCCTGTAGGTGGCGGCTGCACTCACGATATTCTCCTCCACGTTGATGTACGGTCAGATCATGATGACTCTGATGATGAAAGAAACGAAGAATCTTCTCTCGCTCGAGAACACAAGGATATCTTGTGTCTCTGGGAAGAATAAACAAAAGCATTTCCTCTTAGGATTGTCCGGAAATCTAATGGAGGGAGGGAGCGAGCGAGACATAGCCGTCGGTGTCAGTCAGCCGCTACTCTTCATGGGCCACCTCCAAGTAGGCGTCGAGCTCGAAGTACAGAGGCCATCTCATCAGAAGTCTCTATGAGGGTGCACTAGATAAGAATATGTTAAGGAAGAGTCATGGTGATATCCTGATATCCTGATGATTGCGGAGAAAAAAGTTGCACAATTATGTGCAAATTTATATTGATCGTTCGTTATGCCGCAGGCTGATCATGATGACTTCCTGCCTGCCTCTCTGTCCTCTATCGAGAATGAGAGAGAGAGAAACCCACGAAAAGAGGGTCTTAGAGACACAGATGAACGAGATTGAGACGACTTTATTACATGCAGTCGAATAAGCGGCTCCCAACTGACCACCGGCGTAGAGAGGGAGTGGAGAATCGCCACTTGTGATATCAATTATATGGGAGACTTCTGGGTGATTCATATAACTCTCAACCTAGTAAAGTAAGAGCTTGTTTCTCAATATAAATAAATAAATAAATAAATAAATAAAATATATATATATATATTGATTATAACGCTGAATTGATCAAGCTACGGTAATGTCATTCCTTAACATATAATGTACAATAATTCATATCTACCTCATTCGATACGTTGAAAGTTAAGGGTCGGCGGTAATTTTAGTCTTGGGCTGGAGATCTTTCCACGTTATTCTTACGCAGTAAACGAAGGGCTCTTGAAAGTGAGCTATGAAGGAACAGACTAATGTGAGGTATTTTCGGACATGATCTAATATAAAGAACTCTCATAGATTAGTAAATTTCAGTTTGGGACTAATCACATTATACCCGTTTGCTTTCATCACGTGATGATGTGAACGGGTCCAACGATCCTTCTTGCTCTCCTTCTCCTATTGTCAAACCTTCTAGGGGTATATAATTGAAATCATGGCCACTCCTTCTGGAAATCATTACTATGTGGTTTTCGAAAGTAAGCCGAAAAGGTTGACGAAAAGGCTCTGCAGGAGCATGGCCAGTACATTTATTGATATGTATTTTAGGTGATCCCCACAACAATTTACTCCTACCGGATTGAACGCGCTTGGGCCTGCAAGCAACTTGGCATTGAATGGATACAAGAAGTCAACTAATCCATCAAGCTTGCATACGTACCGGTCTCTAGAAGGAAAGGTACGACATGAGTACAGTACGAGCAAGAGCGCAACATAGTATCTGGAGTATGGAAGCATGGACATCTGTACAGGTTCTATGAGTTGGGAAGCGCATGAATGACCCAGGATCATTTTTAATGGGAACTGGGAATAAGCGCAAAAGTGTACGCAGTGTATCAAGCGGGATTCTGTTTGATGAAGGCTGTGGTCCCTAGTCATATTCCACGTTGCGTATGATTCACAGCCACACGTACCATGCGTGAGTTGGTACTAGGTACGATTCCAAACATACATCATCGAGCCATTGGGACCTCAAGAATTCAAATTCTTGCAACATGTGGCTTCTGAAACCTTCGAGATGCTGCTGCTGCTGCTGTAAATTATTCCCACAACTTCATTGGGTGTGTAGGAATCGAATTGTCAGTCCACTTACGTACAGAGCCCTCCGATCAGCAGACGATGCCCAATGATGCGACTAATCCCTTGCCATCCGAGTATGACGGTGCACGCCTAAAGGAAAATTCTTTGACAGCAATGAACGACAATGGGTAAACATTGCCCGGTATTCGCACATTTGAAATTCTCATGTCACGGTTGTGGCCTCCAAATATTGTTTGACGGAGAGCGTGAACACTCAGAGGACACCAGATGAGCATCATTTGGCTTCCCAAATTCATTCATTTTGAACAACCAATGAATTTCCCGCTAGCGCATCTCCGTGTCCGTGGCTCAGTGTGGGCTCTCTATTTGCGCGCTGGACTAGCTAAGTACCAACGGAGTGACCTAAGCCGTTCCGTCACTCTGTAACATTCTTGTGCCTTGGAATGGAATGTGGGTGATCATTGATCAGATGGCCCATGAATCAAATATGTGCCTCGCATCAGCTGGGACACATATTGCTCCAACCCACAGTTTCCGCTGTTCCCACATGGTACCACAGTCATCTGAATCTATTGTGGATCCAAATTCCACACATTCCACACTTTGCACATGATAAATTCATAGAGTCGCATCTGAATCTGAATCTGAATTTGAGTGACCATGTTCTCCCAATCCAGCTGCAATTGGGTTGTTTCCTGCAACTTATGGTACGATTGAAAGGAGCTTTGCAGGGCCTGAACTCTGAAAGATTCTGCCTGGAATGCACACTCGCTAGACAGGTCGAAGGCTTGTTCTACCCATCAGCCATTTGGTCGCCTGCTAAGTTGGAGCCTGCGGGCACCTACAGCTACCGCCCCACCCCCCACTCTAAATTATAGCCATCCTTGTTTCGACACGATTAAAATCGTCTCTTTCGAACAACGGTAGCTCTTCTAGTCCTTTTTGGTTTCATCCCTGAACGACTTGTTGGTTCATCCCATCCTTTTTACTATGTCACTCGATCTCCTCAGGATCAATCCAGTCTGCTTAATTAAATGCTCACAACTTATAGATTTGTAGATTTATAGATTCGTGCACGAATGCTGAGATGAGATTGCTCCGGTGTGCCTCCAAAATCGTATCCAGTGCTCTCGGGTAGGAAGGTCTCTAAGTCTGGAGACGATAGCATCGGAATCTCGTGCGCTCGCTCCAGGTCTGCGCTTGCCTGCGCAGTGTATATTACAATTTAAGAGTGTACGGCATTGCAACCGATGGTCACTGTTCTCGAAGACCACTATTACAAGTCTCGTCGCACTTCAGTTTAGCGTTTAGTGCGTTCACTGACGAGTGGAGGTCTATAATCTGGAGTCTGTTCAGACGATGGACAGGGAAGTGAAGGCAAGCGACAGAATGTGCATGCTGCAAATCGAGCTTCCTTTTCCTCTTCGTCTCCCACACTGGCCGCGCTGCTGTATCAAGTTAGTTGACAGGGCCTCGGTCCAGAGGGTGAGAACTGCGCTCGCACAGAGAGAGAGAGAGAGGGAGAGTGAAAGTGAAGTTCACTTTGGTACGGGCCTCTGACAGACTTTGCCGTACGAGCTTCGAATTCCACTGTTCCAGCTCCAGCTCCTTCCACTTTCTCATCATCCGTCCTATGCTCAGCTCAGCTCAGCCTTTTCGAGCGTTGATTGAAATATCTTCGTACCGTGAGCTCCTGAAGGCCCTCTTTCCCTCCCTCCCTCTCTCCCTCCCTCCCTCTCTTCACGTTCCACTTCGTTCATTTACTAACTTACTCATTCACTCATTTATTCTTGCACCAGAAGACGCCTAGCACGTTAATGCACTCTACTCTACTACAGTCCTGACACTGAACCCGAGTGCAAGGCCAAGGCCTCGTCCCTCGCCGAGAGGAGAGCGAGAGAGCGAGGCCCAGACGTGTCCCGAGGATATGATCCGCTTTTTTCCCAACATAAGCTGTGGGCCCTTCTCTCTCTCTCTCTCTCTCTCTCTCTCTCTCTCTCATGAAGCCGCCTGAGCAAGAAAGCTTTTCTCTGCTTCGAGTTTGTCGGAGGAATGGGGGGACGATGGCCGACGTAGCGCCGCTGCCGATGGAGGTGTATGCAGCGAGATGGGATGAGATGCTCGGTTGGCAGCACGAATGAATGAGGGAGGGTGATCAATAGCGTCGATCCTCGACCCTCGACCGAGAACCGAGCTCGCCGGTGTGGCATAAACTCGGCAAGAGTCTGCGCTCGAGAACAGAGGCACGGAGCACGGTGCGGTCTGTGTGATTCTGTCGGGCCTTGTGGCGCCGATCTCTCTCTCACTGCTCACGATCGGAACAGTAGCCCTCGCATTCGGTCTCAGCACGAACAACGACTCATTCAGCCCGAGCCCATTGGTGCCCAGCTCTGGTCTCGCCACGCAAATTTGCATGCATGGGCAAAACGAGCTCTTCTCACATCCTCATAATCACAAGGGCAGGATCAGCAGAAAACCCTTTGGATCCTTCGACCACTGTAATGGAATCGTGACATCGTAAGGTGACCAATGGATGGATGTAGTGCGGGTGACTGCAGATCAGCGCACTGTTTTGTCCCCCTCGTGCTGCAAAGTCATCGTTCAGATCATGAACGAGTGACTCGGCGAGAAGTGGTCTAGACACGAGTGTTTGAGAGCCAAATCCGAACCCAGTGGCCATTGGTCAGACGCATAAATCATGCACTTTTGAAGAAGGTCCAAGGTTTGTTACAGTTCCCTCGGGCAACGATTTTTTTGGATGCCTCCACTCAAGCATGAAGCTATTGCGTCAAATCTTCAATTAAAATAGCAAAAGCGATCGGAAGCCATGGATCATACCAAAGGGCAACACGGGGCTAGTCGCTAGTAGTATCACCAGGGCAAATATGTTCTAGTACGTCTACATATTCCACCTAAACCCTATCTGAACAGGTGATAACAACTCGTATATTCTTGTTGCATATAGACTGGGTGACTCTACCTAGCTCAAACTGTTGACATGCAATAAGAACGTCCGAAAAATCACATAACTCGATTTTTTTTATAAATTGTATCTAGCTCAGTAGTTATATAAAACTTTGCATATATATTACTTAAAATGTATATAAGTCAAATTAAAAATCAGGGTACAATATTCTCTTGGTACGATGATTTCTGGTGTACTTTCTCATAAACATGTCCCAAATGTAAATATGAAAGTCACACCTTTCCCCGTCCAGTATGTACAATGAAATTGAATGGTAGGGCGAAGGTAAGAAGCTTTGCTAGCTCGAGCTCCACCGAGCTCGTTTATGGTAATTGTTTGCATTAACACTTATGTGCCACTGGCTTCGCCCTTTGAGTGGGACGCGATCGTCTGCTCTCCAGCCTACCCACCCATCCACCCAAGGTGACCAAATAATCAGCGATGGCAGCAGCTGTAACAAATTGCCAAGGACATGCATTGAACACCTGAACTGCACTGTAGTGTGCTTGCGATCGAGCTCAAGAACCTACTAACTCACTGCAGGAGAGTAAGATAAAGAGGAAGCGTGCGAGGCCAAGAGTCCAAGACCCGTGGAAAGGCTAGTGAGCAGGAATATGTAGGGTACATTGTAGGCGAGGCATTCGAAGAGCTCATCATCGTCATCGTCCAAAGCATAGAGAGGTTGACGAAACTGCAAAGAGCACAAGTTTGAGAACTAGGGCCAATTTGAGAGTCTGGCACTGCGGTGAGATCGGTGTCATCAGCCATGTTTTTCTTATGCTGGATGTCGTCAGCGCACGAAGACCAGACCCGAGTAGACAGTGGTAGACCAGACCAGACCAGACCAGACCACATTGGATTAGACCGGACCGGAAGGTCTGATGAGCTGCTGACTAGATTTAGAGGAAGACTTTGGAGCCTGGACGAGAGATAAGAGTAGGTTTTGCATTCTACCTCCACTTCTCAGCTGGCTGGTAATCTAACTCCTCAGCTACATGTCGTGGTATCTTCTGGTGCCAAATTCCACTTTACCAAACGCCAATCTCCATTTCAGATCCTCAGAGAATCAACCGTCATCAGATCGGAGTCCCATTGCTTGTTCTTCGAAGATCCAGCATCACGGATAATGCATTCCAAGTGCCATCCTCTGCCTTCGGATGCTCAATCATGTATCTGCGCTGCTATTACAGCATAGGGGCAGATGGAAGACCTGGTCTCGTCCATCAAGCCAGCAATCCGTCCTTCCGTAGTTCGGTCCTCCTCCATCGGTTAAGTTGACAAAGGTATTTTACAAATCTTGGACTCTTTCAAGGGAAGGGTAGGCAGGCATTGTGGATCATAGTGTCCATTGCATTTTGACATAAAAAACATATGGGCAGATCTTCCAAATCGTTTGTTGGCGATCGGCGGCCATCCCTTCATTCATTCAATCATCACATCAAGGAGGGAGGGAGGGAGAGTAGAGCCTTCCCCCTGCTCGTCAGATGATTGGAATGCGAGTTCAGCTGATCAAATCTCTAGTTCGACTTCCGTAAGTTTCAATCAGAATGATGTCAGACTTCAAGATCTTCGTCACATCATCATCATCATCTTGTCTTGGACTCCGACTTCGAATGTCATGCATGTGTGTCGGCAGGATGGGAAACACCAAAAGGACCAGGACCAGCCGTTGTCGTCTAGTCAGCGTCGCCCCACTCCCAGCGATCAGAAAACGCTTTGTCCCTTGCTCCTCCGCCTTTGGGATCCATCTCCAAGACTGCAGCTGCAGCACTGGTTGCCTGTCGCTTGCTTCACTGTGGACGCAGTGATGAATTAAACAACTCCAGAAATACTTGCAAGTTGCTAGATGGACGAAGATAATGTTTGCAAGCTCATCTAATCGGCTGTCGCCAAAGAGCCAAAACGCCTTCATGGAAAATAGACCATCGAACGATCGAACTCAACTTGACCAACACTCACATCCAATTCTGAAATTTAAGCACAGGAGAGATTTCGTACAGCCGATATACCGATGCCATGATTGCCAGCGAGAGAGAAAGTGATATTCTGGAAACCGATGCCAATGCTTCATGTACATCATTCAAAAGGTCACTGGCCTTTCCAAAAGGTGGTTATTGCTGACCAAATCTCGATGTAAGAGCCCGAGCTGAGTGCCTGGGCTATCTAACTTTCCAGCGAGCGAACGGGCGAGCAGCAGCAGCTGAGCTCGCAAGTCAGAGACGATCATCAAGTGCGAAGTCTGATGATCATGCGTAGGGGTATACTTGTATATTCTACATCATGAAACTTGATGCGCTGAGTCTTCCTCTCTGTTTTGCTACATTAGCTCAAACAACAGTCCGTGTTTGGCATTTGGCAACTCTGTAATGGGTGCTGCAATGACACGTTTCAACCAATGACGAGGACGATGGAGGGAGGGAAAAAAAACATCTCTCCCACATTTTATCGAGCAATCGATGACTGCGTGAACTGGTATACTGAATCACTGAAGGGCTCTTGGACTATAATGGTCGTACTGGTACCTAATTCCTCCGGTGCAATCGTGCTATTCAAGTAAACTCCAGATCAATCGAGCACGTTCATGCGATGATGCTGCTGTGGAACACATTATGCTGCAAAATCTGTGCAAATGGTTTCTTGAAGTCGAATAGCAGCAGAAAATTGAGTTCTACCACAAGGGAGCTGAACGACACCCTGAATACAAGTATGAACTGTGAATTTGGTCAGAATTCGCATACTGATAGTGAAGATTCTTGCTAATAAATATATTAGTGTCATAATTTGGACAATCAGAGGGGAAATCAAGTCCTTCAAAGATGTAGGAATCTACTTGACATCTGGAAGCTGGGTCATGATCCATACACAGTTCTGTTGAATGCTATAGGTAACCCCCTGGCAGATGACAAAGTTTTGCCAGGGATGATGTTTAAGATATAGGAGCATGAAAAAGTAATGGTGGAATGTTCAACCACCAATTTCTTCTCATGCCCAAGAATTGGGGGTAAGATGTATACGTCTAATACTGAGTAAAATTTGCAAAACCCCTCTTATCTATAAGACTCGTAAACATTAGCATGACCACATTTTTTCCAGCCAGAAGATTATTATCTCTAATTCATCTTTACATGATGTTTGTCACTTGTAGGCGTCATACACGAAACATTTACAGATTCCATTAGTTTTGGAGACAACATATATTCCTCTAATCTTTGCCAAATATAAATTAATCTTCTACGAAAAAACTAGGTGTGTTTTTTAAATTTAGGCCAAGAATCTATTCATACAGATTAGATGATGTAACAAAGTGCGTAAAGTTATCAATTTATCTTTCAGTACTGAATTCACAAATTGGAAAACGTTGAAATATAGTCCAATCAACAAGATCAGTAAATGGATAAGATTCAAGGTTTGCAATAAACTTAAAGCCCCAGTTTCTAAGATTCTACTCTCGAAATATATGCCATGGTAGATCTTGAAATGTTAATTTTATACTTGCTTTTGTTATAAGTTATGATTAGCCTAACCATGGTTAGGTTAGGCTAGTTACGCAAGGCGTTGTACAGTGAGCCTTCCACTTTGGGCAGTCAGCTCACAGACTCTGGCTGTGTACATTTATGTAATTAACACGTAAACACTTGCTCTTCACCTCTTGAAGGATGCAGCCCAAATGTGAACCATTCTCAGTGCAGTTGTTAGTTGTATGATCGATTTGATGGCTTATATTCCTTCTATGAGCGCATCGCACAGTGATCAAAACAGAGCATGAGCTGTTTGTTTCGATCATTGCCATTCCACTCCTAGATCATTCAAAGCTGTGTGGGCTTTAGATGGAGTTGCTAAATTCCATAATTGTATAGGATAACAGAGGCGGCTATGGAGGTGGTGACAGAGGGTACAACAGCGGATGCCGAGTTGGTGGTGGTGAATCGAGATGGAGATATGATAATCACAACTGTGAATTTTGATACTGGGAGCCAGGGCTCATGGTTTGGTGATGATTCACTCTCTCGTCCCACAATTAAAGGGAAGGGCCTCGTCTAAGAGCCTGGCGCTTCAGTTATCGGTGAATGTGATATGTCACTCGCGCTATAATCCTTCAGCCTCGTCAGAGCTTTTGATTGTCATTTGGTAGGTGCAGTTTTGGATCATGAAATCAGCTCAAGTTTAGGTGATAGGTGCTCTTCTTCGTTTCTTACGTGCACTCAGTCACTCAGTTGGCATGATAGATCGATGTAATGTGATAATTAGTCGTCTCTTCCGTCACCGGTGTCCGACACAATTATACACCTCCCATGTCCTCCTAGACATCGAGGCCTGTCAGGTTTACGATGCGAAGTAGATGCAGAGCTTACGAGGCTGTTGCGCAAGAGATCTGATTTTTTGGTGATAGCTATGAAAGAACGAAGAGGTCATCGTATGAGTGAGCATCTAACCTTCGGAAATTTGCCCTTGCGTTGACATTTACATCGGCCATAAGTGATTGATTAGCTTAGCGCCTCCACCCAAACACAATCCAGAACAATGACTGCATACCAAGCATCACTTTTGGAAAAACACTTAGTGACCTGTACATGCTTTTCAAAGTTTGAGTTCTTCGTCAAGTGTGCTACTTCATTGTTTCGAGGTTGTAACTGTAAACTGATGTTACACAATAAATCTTTATTATTATTATTATTATTTTATTTAAGTATATGTTCATCAGTTCACATGATTATGATTGAGAAAGTTTTGGCTATCCTCACGTGCAAGTCGTTTCGCATGGTGAGATGTGAGAAGGGTTTTGCTAACCTACACAAACTTAACTCATTGGTTTAGATGAGGCAGTGAAACAGAGAGTTTCAAACTATTAATTTGCAGAATTTGAGGCCTTTATGAGTTTGTTCAGGACGTATTGTGCGGGCAATCTACTTCTTCCTTGTATTCTAATAAAAAAATACTATGCAAGTATTGTGGATGAGTAATCAGAATTTTATTTTGATTTTTTCATGCATAAAAAATTACAGAGACTTTCCATCAAGAATCCTTGTTGAAACCTAGGATAGGAATGAATGAATAACTATCTATCTCAAGTTAATGATGGGATTTATATTGTAGATGAGATGGATATGTATTGTTTGAAAGAAGAAGAATACTCGTCATTTCACCACACCATATACGTAAGAGGAAAATGATGTTGCTAAGCGAATCAAGCAATAATTACTAGAGTAGTCAAGGAGTAAATAACTTCAAACAAATTCCCCATAAATATTTTTGAATAAAGCCGTAAGTATCATGATTAACTTGCCTTATTGTATTATAATCAAGTGCAGTACCCTTTTTGAAAAGTGATTGAAATTGCTTCATGTTTATGTTTGATAGCTTGATTCAGGACTAAAAGTTTCATTTGAAAATAGGTTGGAGTGTTATATTTTATCAGGTATTTTTTACTATTCATTCAGTGTCAACATGGATGTGTATCTTATCATATCACGATAAACTGTTTTCTTTGCCTTGTCCAACCACATCAAGTATCTCTTTATGCGCGGACATATTACTCGATCATTATTTTTTCAAACAAAGAGATTGCTAATCATCACATGCTTCAAGACGTACACGAGTGATGTCTACCATTGTGGAATGACATCATTAAGGCAAATCAAATACATTCACTTATCCAACCGTCTTCGCATCAAAATCAATAGATATAATAGAAGACAAACATACATCCCTGTTAATTCACACCATAAGTGCAAATCATATATTCCATACGATATTATCACTCATCCAACCTTAATTGACATGTACTTTACGTAAAATCTTTCTCTACATCAATTTTCATAGGTATGACTTAAGATAGACTCAAAAGTTGTCAAATCAATCTATATACAAGGTGTCCCTGAGCAACCTAAACCTTTCAATTTGAAGTTATAATGTATAATGGGACTCTCAAGAAATCTCTTAGAATTCCCTACATCACTTTCGTTCATGTCTTATCAGTTTGATACTTATCTTATTATCTTAATTCTGCCGCAAATCCACATCAGAGGTAGAAGTGATGATATTTGGTCGTAACACGATAACCTCTTGAGCAGAAGGTAAAGTTTGCTCGATAGTTTTAAATCTATATCCATCTTACTAGCATCCACAAGCTCGGTGCGAACAAATCATGCCATTGAATTCTATCTCAAAGCTCCCTTGGGATAACCACTGCTCCAACCCTGCTCAAGAAGTAATCCAACTTTCATAATACTTTCGTAATAGCTTTTTGCCTCCCTGTCTTCCCCGCAAAGTGATCGACTACGACCAGAATTTGTGTTTCTCGTCAGTTCCTCAAAGCCTTGTCGAGGAGTTGAGTTCAGGTACAGAATGTGATCCAAAACCAGAAGTCGTGTCGTGGTGACTACTGCAATCCATGCATGGAGTTCATTATGTTCTGATAGGGACATGAGAAGTTGTAGCAAGGATTTTGCAACTGCTCGAATTCGCACGAACTTGCAGATGGTGGCGAGGATTGGTCATGCTGAATTCAGTCTATCTGGCCCTGATTGTGCCCTATGAGCTTGACCATGCTTGACTATCGTTACCCACCCACCACTCGTCACATGTCACCGAGATTATCTTTCGTAGGATCAAAGGCTTACAAGGTTCGAACGTAGACCAGACTTGCAGTCCGATGCTGGACTATTGCTAAACAAAGGGTGTCGACGAAGTCCTCTGATACCAGTAATTAGATTAGATTAGCGAAGGGAATCTGGGAATCGGTGTGCTGGACTTGATTCGCATGCACCTCGGCATCCGTTGCTTTGGAAGCATTCAAGAGACTTTCAGATTCGGAGAAGAGGTTCATCATTTCGGACGATGGTTCAGGATTTTCCGGGATGACGAATGCGCATCCATCACCGAACTCGACGTGCTCCGGTGCTAAAGGCCAACTTAGTCGAGGTTTTCATGCTCCCGAGGTGCTCAAGATCATTGCGGTTCCAAAACGCTTGTCATCAGAGGTTGCTTGGTTGCTTGGTTCGAGGAGCACAACAACGTTGTGTCTTGTGTCCCATCCAAAAACTAAATCCAACCCCGAACACTGAAATTGTAGTATTCTTGAGCGAGTAGGAAGTTTCTATTATACTTTAGCTTTCTGTAGTACACCACTATGGTAATGTATAGCACAAATTCAATTATTCTGGATATAATATGTCATAATATATTCATGTCATGTTATTTACAACAGGTTAAACAACTGGAATATATCAACAAGTCAATTTTTGGTATCCCAATGGTTTTGTTGTGTGATTCTTATTGTGTAATTCCATGATTATACGATTTGGTCGAGGTCACCTGTTAAGTCCTGGAACGACCTCGCAAATTTCACAGGACATCAGACCATCGTCTCTTGACTTATTCAATTTCCTCCCATCGGTTGCTGACATGGCCTCGCTGTAACCAATGGCCACTGCAAAGCGAAATCTGCTCCGTTGGTCCCCAGGTTCGATTGCACCGAGCTCGCACTTCAGCTGCTGATCCGACGTGACTCATCGACGTGCCCGCAGTTCATTCAGGGCAATTCAAGCTCGTGCTACAAGATCTTCCACCGCGTGACCTGAACTGTGACCAACATTCTTACTGGGAAGGGAGCTATGGCCCCTCAACTTGGTGACGCAGAAAGCTGCTGGACTCTTTGGAAGCCCCTCGACGTCGTCGGAGTTGGTAGAAAAGTTCATACGCCTTTGGTTTCGTACTTGTACAGTTTGATTGATGGGGTCATGTCGAGAAGAATCTTGCCGCTGATGGCAACTCTCACACCGTCATCGGTACTTGTTGCAATTGGCATTTCCTTTTGAGAAAGAGGCCGGCCCTCTAGTTCTTGAGAGCCGTAGTTCGGTGCTGGATTCCAAGAGAGTTGACTGAATTAAGTGTTCTCGAAGAGTCGATGACAGATTAACTACTTTACAAAAAGAGCAGGATCGGTGTTCGTACCAAAGTTGAGAGCTTCCTTTCCCATGTCCATGTCGTGTAACTGAAGCATGGCGATTTTGTTTGACGGCTGGAAAGGCATCGAACGAGGTAGAAACGAGGTTCATACCTGGTACATGAGCCTGAACCCCGATACGGACATACAGACTCTGATTTCGTGATCAACACTGCCTCATGGCAAATCTCTTTGGCCGTCAATCCACCTCGAACATGTGCCGTCGATATCTGAGATAATGCTGACACAGTGGCCGAGTCTTCGTTTGCTCCTCCGACAAGGCATAGGAGTCGAAGGTAAATGCTATAACCTCAGCAGCTCGACACGTTTGGAGAAGATATGTCGAACTATTTTCTCAAAATATCTGACGTGGGAGCAGGGGAGTCAGATCGAAGTCTTCTCAGATTTGACGATGTAAAGAGATGCACTGCTCATATTCTGCTGAGTAGATTCATTTGTCTCCGGTCTCATGAGAGCCAGGTACGTGGCGAAAGTCGGTCTTCCAAACCACATTTGCTGCTGCTGCCGCCGCCGCCTCGATGGAGTTTTGTCTTATTGTTTCTTTTGAATTTAATGCCCCCATCATCAAATCCAATTTGCACAAGTTGCAGTGGGGCAACTTGCGCCTAGCGCACTTTCAGAGCTTCTACGCTTTAGTTGCTCTCAGTGTAACGGTAGTTGACTATGTCGTGACGGTTGTTGTGAACTTAGGCAGCTTCATGTCCACCACCTCCTCCTCAGGACGACTTTCCGGGTTCGGTATGTTGTTTTATATTGGTATGCTTGTTAACAAAAGACATTCAAGTTGAGGTTGCTGGCTGGACTTCGAAGGCTGTACAGCACTGCAAGAACTTTCTGTCCCAGAAATTTGCAAGGGCTCTGAGATTCTGAAATTCCTTCTGCGTCCTTCGAAGAGATCTCGATTGTGGAACGAACGATTAAAAGGTATATCTTCTGAAATTCGTAGGAAGTTCTATCACCAGAACTCCTTCCCGAGCTGATATGCACCACGAGAATCAGCTGATGAACTGCTCAAACACGGCTGAGGTCGGAGGATTATTATTATGGATCAGACCCCTTTTGTACTCCCCACTAAATTATTAAAAAAATTTCGTTCTCTATAAGTCCCTATCTGACCAAAACTTAGAAGAGTTTTAGAAATAACGAACAATTGATAAATGAGCTAAATTTAAAAGGTAAATTAAACAAATGATTGCTTCTTCTCCAAGTTCTCTAAAGTTTATGTCGACCTTGTACTTTCTGTCGTCGAATGCTTCGGATTCTGAGGATAGTGAACGAAAATGCGTTTGTTCTCTCAAGATCTCAGAAAAGGAGAAATGTTGTCATTTGCAAGTACTAGTTTATACGTAGTACGTCTTCGTGTCTCTGAAACGTGCATGTCTGGAGATCTGGCATGACATCAAACAAACATCCAAATTTTCCCTACTTGCTAAAATCAGCACCAACCTTGCGAAAAGCATGAAAAAAAAGTCACTTTGTTCCGCATGTTTAAGGTTACAAAGACCTTTTATTTCTGATACACCTGACCTAATCTTCGTGGCAATCTGATACTCCCTATAGTGAGTGACTAGACATTTGCAAGCACTCAAACGCGCACAAAGCCTATAGGAATAGATGAGGTAGAGATTATCAACATATCGCTGACAGTCTACAGGAATAGATGAGGTAGAGATTATCAACATATCGCTGACAGTCTACGTCATGATAATATATTTGAGCTTCCTTTTTGTTCTGTAAAGCACACGGAGGTCAACGACATAACATGACCGTTGGTTTTTCGTAAAGTTCTCCTATCCTCCCAAGTGAAAAACTGCAAATCAACATCAATAATCAATCAACATCCATAATGCACGTCTTCAAGCTATTTCATGTCACCTCTACTCTTGGACCAGAAATAAGTAGTGCGTTTTCCATGCGGGACTGTACCTTGAGTTATTAATTGGGCGTTTGTTAGCTCCCTAAGGATAACAAACCCAAAATTTGAGCAGGATAGACACTTCACTCTCTCACACACACTCACTCTCTGTTTTGTAAACTTCAAAGTACATATCAATTAAAGTATGTCAATAATGCAGACTATCATCAAAATAATGCTAGCTAAGTCCACCTTTTTATCACACTACAGGGTCAATTCAGCGTTGAATGCAATTGATGTTTGATGGCATCATGAAATATATGACTGTATATATTAATGGAAAGTTCATTATTGGATTTTCCGTCAAATATTCGAAACTTCTGCATGAATCATTCACTGATTTGGCAACTTTGAATAATTTCACAATAATTCCAAATTTGCCTCACAAGAAGTCCAAGCTACTTGTTGATTCTTTCATTTTCCAACAATCAGTGTTTTTCTGAAGACAATTCTTCTCTCAATGCACCCATTTTGCTAAAATGTAGATATATTTCACGTGTTCAAATTTCTTATCAAATCTATGTAAGATTCTCCCATGAAGTTTAAGAAACTAGTGTAATGGTTTTCACAATTCAATCAGAATTTTCGTATGTTTATCATTAACTATTCCTAAAAGCGAGCTTTCACAATATTTGAACAAAGTTATCCTTCATAAAACCATTTCGGGGTAAGAACTTAAAAAATTTCTGAACGGTAACATCTTTTTCTAAGGACCAAATGCTTTAAATTCAAAGAAGGATTATATATCTATTATTATTCTCTCCCTAAGATTATCCAGAAATGATGCATGTGTCAATCCGCTTTCACTTCATGCAAGATTTTTTAATAGTAAGAAAATATACCTTTTGCAACCAATTCTAGGCAAAAAAATTTCAGAATTTGTGTCGTTAAAAATAATAATCTTACCTTCAATTTTTAAAATTTAAAGATCTTACATGATGAAAAATATCATTTTCCCTAGCAAATTATCATAAGAAGTTATACTGTTATTACTTCTCTTCTCATAATGTCTTTTTGATCAATAACGGTAATTAAAGTCATATAGTTAACTCCATTACTGTTTGCGGAGTAAGTGGATTATTCATTTTATTAATTAGTCAGGATGTGAGCTTCTTGGACTTGTAAGAAAGAGTTTCATACAAGTTTCCTTTCATATATGTTGTACTCTGTGTTTGCATATGATTTTTATTTGCTGAGTGGACAATTTTCATCTTCCAAAAACCATCAGAAAATTCTTGTGCATTTATGTCTTCATATATAAATTTCTAAGATTGGAAAACCAAATTCTAGGCTTGTGGAATTGTGCAGTTGACATATGAAAAAGAAAACTTGACATCTTGTTTAATATTTTCATGATCATGGTATCCCCAAAATCAATCATTTTGATTCAAGGGCATTCATGCATTAACAAAAACTCTATTAAATGAATGGATATCTCAAATGAATCCAGATTCTACTCAAATCCTATATCATTACTTTCCAAATCACTATTCAATTGTAAAATCTTATACTCTAATCACTTCTCAATTTCCGTGACGTTGTTTACATGCGGATGTCGTTGCGCTTGTCAAATTCTGTACTTTTCAGAAATGTTTTCCAGAGACCAGGATGGTCACATTTTCCGTATATGGGGTCACTTTGTTGTCAGACTTTTTCTGTCCGAATATCACAACTTGACATAGATTAGCCTTGGTATGCTCAGTTTTGTCTATATAAGAACCAAGAAGTAGTGCCAGACAAAGAAGCGAAGGAAATCCAGCAGCTACAATAGAATGCGAAGAAAAGCTCAGGAAAAAGCGACAGAAAGTTGAGATCAAATCTGAGCATGTTCAAGCAGTAGAACATGCATGTTCAAATGTAGTGGGTGGTGCAGATTTGCAACTCCTTAAAGTGCTAGTGAAGATTTGCGAACTTGTCATCAATATTAAGATTATGAATACATAGAAGGTTCTGCAAGTCTCGAGAGGCAGAGAACAGGGCAGTTGCATCGAACCAGATACTCCTGTTGACAGCACCCACGAGTGAGGAAACGTATAGCACAGAGGATTATACAAGTAGGAATATCTTTTAAGAGAAACTCTGGTGTCAGCTTTTTCATATCTACATCTAGTCACGGCTGATATTCATTAATATTCTCAAAATACTGCAGAATCAACGTTGCCCACTGCAAGAGAATACTCATCTTGAGAAGAATTGCAATTCTACAGGCTGCAATAGATGACTTGATCAAAGGACATTCATCACCGCGGATGAGGCCTTGCAAGATACTATCAAACATGGACCTGGTTCAAACATATTTTCAAATTGGACACAACTAAATATACACAAGTGTCAGATCC